GACTACATGATTCTCATCTTTATTCAGTTGAAGAGCCAGTATTGGAAGCACTGCAAGGCTTGTTTTGGGGACACTCTGAATACAGGAGAGTTTGTGAAGGCTACAAGAAGGCACATTTTTATCTGAGCTTGAGGAAGAACTTCCTTTTTAAATTATGTAGAATCATAAAGCAATAAAAGAACATGTGGGAATTCCTGAGATACTGGTCTATGAAAACTATATCTATATAATCAGGCACCAAGAGCCATTTGGAAAGGAAATTATAGAGAGGACTTGGATGATAAAATCTTGCACTAATATTCTCATGATTTATATAATATTTTGAATAATCTCAGGTCATCCCTTGATCTATCATTTTGTCAGCTCTCAGAAAGCCTTGCCTAATACTGTGTGGGTTTGGCAGTGAGGGATACCAATCAGCTATTTAAAAATGTCACTCAATTTCTTAAGTAAAAATTCAGAGTGTGTGGGGTACTTTAGTGTTTGGTTCTAAAATTAAATGTTGTCTCTCATCTGAGAGGAAGTAAACATCTCACCAGTGTCCTAGGCATGATTTCAGAGGCCCAAATCTATCAGAATAACTTCACTTGAGTACAGCCTGGCCAAAGGAAAGGAAACCTATCAGGAAAGAGCAAGAGGCTTGAGGCTCTTAAGTAGTGGGAAAGACATTCGGGAGGGGCGCCCTGTTTACTGATGAGAACTTTAAACACTTCCTCCACATCCGAGGGTAGCCCAGCAGCTAGAATAACAGGAAGTTCTCAGGCCAGCAAAACATGGCACCTGTGCAGTTTGCTTCAGTCAGAAGGGGCCGTTTCAGCAGGGGCTAAGACTGTGCGCAACAGGAACCACTTAAGCATTTTCACTGGATGTTAAAAATCAGGCTAAAGTGAACATTTCTGCCATTGTCCATATGTACACGGTGCTGGACAATGCTGAACAGGTTTTTGTTTTTGCCTTACTCAGTTGTCTTTAATGGGCTGGCCACTGGGAGTTTGACCATGCTCCAGTGAGTATATGGGCAGCACAAACTGGACTTGTTTTCTTTCTTTCGTCTTCTTTTTTCTTGGGGGAGGGGGTGGCGGGTTTCACAAGTGTGAGGAAGTGGACGAGTGTGAGTGTGATCAGGCTGCATGGTATGATATTCCCAAATAATCAAACACATGCTGACTTGCTGTGATTGAAACCATGGGTTCTATCCCCAGGACTGCACAGATTCAGAGCGGTGATGCTCATGCTGGTGCCATGCCTCTATCATTACAGCACTAGGGATGTGGAGGCAGGAGGATTAGAAGTTTAAGATCATTTTAAGGCTCTGTAGCAAGAGTCAAGTCTACTATGCATGAGACCCTATCTCAAAAGAAATAAAAATTCCTTTGAAAAAGAGAATTACTATATACAAATCATGTAGTTTTTTATAGCTTTACCCAAAGTATAATTGGCAGTATTTTCAAGATAAATGTGTTTCATTTGCATGACTTTAATTATACCTGATGCCTGTCTGTCCATTCCTTCTGCTGTGTAATTTTTTTTATCCCCCCATTTCCTGTCAGTCTGTACATCATGGAAAAAACTAATTCCTCTCAGTCACCCAACTTCTTCTAGGTATACTTCTTTTTAGTCTTCCCATTAGAATAATTTCACAGTGATTCTGACACCATTTGCTTTGTTTAACACTGTTTTAACTATTTTGCAACTACCATTTTATTTGCTTCTTCTAAGAACTATATGAAATATATATATATATATATATATATATATATATATATATATATATATATGCTTGGTGTTCAAACATATATATATGTATATATAACTTGTTTAACATGATAAGCAAATTAAGTGTATCTATTTTAAGATCCTTAAAATCTTTCAATTATAAAGAAATCAGACAACTCTCAAAGCAAATAATTGTAATTATAAGAACAACAAACAATACATGGGACCTCATGAAACTGAAAAGTTTCTGTAAGGCAAAGGACACTGTCGTCAGAACAAAACTAAAGCCTACAGACTGGGAAAGGATCTTAACCAACCCTACATCTGACAGAGGGCTAATATCCAAAATATATAAAGAACTAAAGAAGTTTAAAAGCAACAAGTGAAGTAATCCAATTAAAAATGAGGTACAGAGCTAAAAGAGAATTCTCTGTAGAGGAATATAGAATGGCAGAGAAACAGTTAAAGTAATGCTCAACGTCCTTAGTCATCAGGAAGATGCAAATCAGAATGACCCTGAGATTTCACCTTACACCCATCAGAATGGCTAAGATCAAAAATTCAAGTGATAGTACATGCTGGAGAGGATATGGAAAAAGAGCCTACATTGCTGGTGGGAATGCAAACTTGTACAACCACTTTGGTTATCAATATGGTGCTTTTTCAGACAATTAGGAATAGCGCTTCTTCAAGATCCAGCTACACCACTCCTAGGCATATATCCAAAACATGTTCAAGTAAACAACAAGGACATTTATTTGTTCAACCATGTTCATAGCACCTTTATTCGTAATAGCCAGAACCTAGAAACAACCCAGATGTCTCTCAGTGTAGGAATGGATACAGAAATTGTGGTACATTTACACAGTGGAATACTACTCAGCAATTAAAAGCAAGGAAACCATGAAATTTGCAGGCAAATGGTGGGATCCAGAAAAATTTCATCCTTAGTGAGGTATCCCAGAAGCAGAAAGACACACATGGTATATATTCACTTATAAGTGGATACTAGACCTATAATATAGGATAAACATACTAAAATCTAAAGATGAGCAATTATGGATCTTTTTACTGTTCTTCTGGCCTTTGAGAAATAGGCATTTAGCACTGACTCTATGCTCATCCATGTTTTAAATGAGTATATGATTTAGTACAAGGCTATAATTAATTTGTGCATCAATAACAGGATTATCTTAATGATAATGAAAAAATTGTGGGATTTCTATTTTATAGTTTTTTACATGAATAAAAAGAATCATTACTTAAGAAATAAGAACAACATTTTTATAAGATGTAGGACTTAAAGAAGATATTGTGAATGAGATTATCCACTTATTGCACACAATGATTGGAACACTGATTTGAGTCTGATTAGAACATCAGACTCACTAGGAGAATCGAATGATGGATGACACTAATGTAAATGCTGTATTCACTTTCTATGATTTTCCAATGAAACCATAGAAGTAAAATAAACATCATCTTCATGTTGACCAAAAGACTTGGTTTTAAAATAAATGGTACGCAAGAGTCAGGACAACTACTTAATTAAGAAAATTAATCAACTGAGAATTTTTTCAGTGAAAATCATCACTTTTTAAATGATAGCCTGGGAGGCTCCACCCCTGTCCAGAAAGCCATTGGCATTTGTTGTCTAGCTGGGAGAAGGAGGAATTCTTCAGAGGTGTCAACACTGGGTGCTTACTCATGCTTCAGCACACAACTCTACACCATACTCGGGCAAACCATGCCAATTAAAGCCAGCGGGTCACAAAAACCATGAAGTAAGGGGAAATGATGGGAAGAAGAAGACGGATTTTAGCAGGTGTGAGAGTATAAGAGAGGGTGTGCACATTCAAACTAACTGATAGACATGTGAAATTACCAAGGAATTAATGAAAGACAAACAAACAAGTCTCTCTTTCTGAGAATGGCAAGCTGCTCTTCTTTCCTACATGCATTTTCATCCATCCCACTTTTCTACTCCTTTTGGTCCCAGAGCCCTGGGACAATCCTAAGGTCTCCTCTCTCTAACACATTTCCCACTGTACCCACTTGCTTTTCATCTAGTGCTTTGACTTCAAAATTGGGGACATTTTTCATCAAGGTCACCAGTGTGGTATTTCACTGTCAAATATCACTGCTCAATACTGAGCTGTCATCCTTGTCTGACAAGGATGGCATTCCCTACCGCTGCCAAACTTTCATGCTGTACTGTACAACATTCACTCTGCATGAAATGATTCTCTCAGTTTCCTTTTGCGGATCCTTTTCCTCATTCCAACCTCAAATTTGGTTTTGTCCCAGGCTTTAGTCATGGAATTCTCTCTTGTAAGTATTTTGGCTTCTTGTGTGGTTTCTTCCATTATCCGTGAGTTCAAATGCCTAGAATAGCAATAACTTCTAGTCTGAAACTCTAGGCCATTGTGTTATCTCCTGACATATCCATTAGTTTGAATAGCATATTCAGTTTACCCCAGCTCAGATTCCACTACTAAGCCTCACGTGTTAAATTTCCTCTTCTCAATTCTCAGTGAATTTGCCAGCATTCACTTGTTTTATTTTTTTAAAGTCAACATTTTCATGATTAATTATTCAAAATGATGAGAAGTCCTCATAATGAATGAAATCTAGACAATGCGTAAGTGACTCATTCTTTCTCTTATCCCCAAACTAATGAAAACAAAGAAAAAACAAAACAAAACAAAACACACACACACACACAAATAAAAGCAGCTTCTTGAAGAACTTGTAATGTCCTTGAAATTAATACCAAGGTTGTTGATAATTTTTTTCTAGGATCACCTACCACCTTGGAGCCCATGTGAAACGATGTTAGGCAAGAGGCTGTTTGCCTTTGGTATAGGGTTACACAGTCGGACAGGGTGTGTATTTCCACAGAAAACTCCACTGTGGCAGGAACAGAGAGCCCGCACATAAAAAGATCAGACTTAGATGAAGTTGTACCAGCCCTGGATGTCAGCATAAGAGGATTCAACCTTCTAGGTCAATGTGATGATTAGGGGGCAGCATGTGGCCACTTGGTAATGTGAGAGATTCTTGTGACTTACCAGGGTCCTAGAGCTGCGATCAAAAGACTGAGTTGTAAATGAGGATGGAGAAAGGATATTTCTCCTGGCTTTTTGTTTTCTGTCAGCCCCCGTTGGCAAGCATCTCTACCATGAGTAGGCATGGGAACCAGTTAAAGAAAGTGTCGATTCACTCGCGTAACGCTGAGAACTCTGGCTTTTGTCTGTGCTGAATGTGTCCGGAAAGGCAAAAAAGAGCAAGATTCTGCTGTGGAGTTTCTCATCTCCATGGTGGTTGGTCCTGACAGACTCAGAGGGTGAACTAGGAGAGCACAGAGAAAAGAGCATGCAATGTGTCTGCTGTAGTCGTGTTGAAGATGAAAAGCCCAAAGGGTCTGGCTCTGTAACAAAGGTAAGATCTTACTGTCATGTGCAAACTGATCCAAGCCTGGGTTACTTGCTTGCTCTTCTGTTCTCTTAAGCTCGTTCTTTCTGTGCAGAGGCCTTTGTTTTGGGTATCTGCCTCTGCTATGGCTATGTAATCATGCTTTATTGCTACAAGGTCTATAACTGGGGATTCTTTTTAGCCCTAGGGAGCGCTGAACCAAACAAACTAAGAATGCAAGTGCCATTACAGATTTCTTAAAGGGAAGTGACATTCAGAGAAAGAGACTAAAAGGGGAGCGAATATTGCTACTATTTATTGATGTGGCTGGTGGTGGAAGATGTGACTCTTTAATTTCCTGTTCAAACAGGCATTCATAAAACAAAGCTATGCTGTACGAATTTGTCACCCTTTCATTGCCTCCAAGTGACAACAAAGGGACAGGATGGACTTAAAGCTGAGATGAGTCATGTTTTTCTGCAGTGATTTTTGTCATAATCACATCTTCATAACTAAAACTAAGGGCACAGAGTATCATTGAAATGCATGTAAAAAAAAAATAGCTACTAAAATATCTTTGGTGAGGAGTAATCCTCCAGCCCCCAAACATGGGATATACTTTTGGGATAAGAACATCAGCAGGCTTTTACATTTTTAATGTTTATCTTCTTAATTATTTTATTTCAATTTTTATATCTGAGTGTTGCTATGGAGTAAATAGCAGCTGAACTATCTCATTTCTATAAGTTTTCATTTCACTAGTAGAAAAGAGAAAAGACACAATCAGAATAGAGTTTGACTGCCTGAAAATTCTATTATAAATAGGTGCAGGATCATAGATTTGGCCATAAGTGTCTTAGTTATACAGAACATGAATCTTTGCCTTTCAGAAATTCCCTTTCTCTCCTTGATTGCTGTTGAGTCTTCAAGTCACTCTGAGAACCCAGAGGAAGCCGAGACAGTGTCTGCAGAGCTAATTGAAGCTTCCCATCCAGTCAGCATTGCCAACTTATCAGCAGTGACCTTTCCAAGTTTTTTTAGTTTCTCAACACCTCCTTCAGAAAAGCCTTTAAAAGTGGATTATCCCTAGATAATCTCTGTTGATACAGTACCTGGTACCTGAACTACATGGAGATAATTGCTATTAGAATTTTTGAAAGGAGGGAAGTTTTGATGTAAAGAGTCACTTGATTTAATAGCTAAACTCAGAGTTATATTCCAACAAATGGCTCAGATCCAAGGAACATACTTTGTTTTGTATTTGAAAAAGTATCAGCTAATAGTAATGATGTAATGGGGATGGTGGAACAGGAAAAAAAATGTAGTTCTAACAATATGTCTGTCTGTCTGTCTATCTATCTATCTATCTATCTATCTATCTATCTATCTATCTATCTATCTATCTATCGACTTTGCCTGGCATGGTAGTGCACTCCTGTAATTCCAGAAATCTGGGAGGCAGAGGCAGGAGGATCACTGTGAGTTCGAGGCCAGCCTGGTCTACAAAGTGAGTCCAAGACAACCAAGGTTACACAGAGAAACCCTGTCTTGAAAAAGACAAAAGAAAAGAAAAGAAAATATCAACTTTGATATGCTGCTGCCATGGATTTTGCTCTTTGGTAGCTGTCTTCCATCCCTGGGCCTCACTCTGCTGATGAGCCCAGTCTCTGCGGCTAGTGATGCCACTGAGGTCAGCAATGGTATGTAGGGATGGGCTGGCATGAGGAAGAAACAGGGTCAGGTGCACTCAGAGCTGGACACATTTTCTTCTGTGTAATGATGTAAGAAAGATTAACCATTTTGTATTTTGATCTTTTAAGTTGGGCCACATCAAACCATCCGCTATTGGGTGAATCTGCCCCAGTGCCTTCTTCTTCTATGCTTGTCATGTGGCTGTCTCGTATCAACCCTTGTTTTTACTCTTAGTGTACGATTTACAAACATTGACAGGACCTCCACAAGGACCTCCACAAGGCTATTGTGTTTAATTTTTATAATTACCTCTTTTTAAGGGGTACAATAATTGGTGTGGGTTACATGAAGTGACTGATTGTGATGTGATTCAAATGGGGAATCAGTCTGTTTGTTAAAATTAGCTCTGAATAACTAAAGTAAAGGCAATGTTTGATTTGACAAATGATGTATCTGGTGTGTGAGATGATATGAACATGACAGATTCCTCATAGGGCACAGATATATGAAAACAGAACCTTGTTTATTTACAAGAGGCAGTAAGCCTAACCTCATAGGGGATCAGGGGCACCTGGAGTTCACAAGCTACTGGCCTATAATCATCTGTGGTTTTGAGCATTTCCTATGGCATTATGTTTGTTTTATCCTGTTTTAATGCAGTCTCGTTATACAGCTGCAACTGAACTAGAACCCAGAAGGTGGACCCCATTGGCTTTTAACTGTTAGCAATCCTCCTGCCTTTGTTTCCCAAGTAATGAGAGAGTTAGCATGTGCTACCATATATAGCTCCCTAAGTTTCCCTTAACAGTTGCTCAGACAATCCCTCATCACATGTGAACTCCTTCTCTTCCTATTTTTGATTTGTTTTTAAGGTTTGAGCTACAGGCAGATCACAAAATAAAAAGGAAAACAAGTCAACTAAGCTGTGAAAGTCAACACTGATCAAAAGCAAAGATAGCATCCAGACATGAAAGGGAATGCTACTTCCTGTTGATATGACAGCAAGGTTCATAATTCTCCTTTTAAATCAGAAGATTCAAGATCCCAATACAAAGATGGAGTCTTTGTGATAGTGTTTTATTTTTAATCCTCTTGAACAGCTGTTTACCATTGTTCATCCCTTAATGCTGGAGTAAATAGTGCCTGCTTGGGAAGGAAAACTTTTAGCATCTTACTGTTAAAAGAGAACTTCAGAGTTACCTAGCCCAACTCCTTAACAAATGCAGGAAATTCCTCCACAAATCCTTTGGTTACACAAATTTCAAACAAATAGTCCCAGCATGGTATCTATTGTTAAAAATATCAGTGACAAAACATTGTTGTTGATATGGGTATTAAATCTGTAACCTTATAAATTCAGTAGGCAGTTCTTAGTCAGACTAGCATCAGAAAACAGAGCCTCTGTGTCTGTTGCATAAATACATGGACTTGCCATTTTTACATGTAAGGTGCCAGATCCTTGGAGCAGATGGTATTTTTTTCTTTTTTTTAATTAATTTATTTTTTATTGATTACAGTTTATTCACTTTGTATTCCAGCTACAGCCCCCTCCCTTATCTCTTCCCAATCCCACCCTCCCTTCCTCATGTCCTCCCATTCCCCTCCCCAAGTCAATTGGTAAGGGAGGTCCTCCTCTCCTTCCCTCTTATCCTAGCCTATCAGGTCTCATCAGGACTGGCTGCATTGTCTTCCTCTGTGGCCTGGTAAGGCTGCTCCCCACTCAGGGGGAGGTGATCAAAGAACTAGCCACTGAGTTCATGTCAGAGACAGTTCCTGTTCCCATTTCTAGGGAACTCACTTGGAGACTGAGCTGCCATGGGCTACATCTGTGCAGGTATTCTAGGTTATATCCATTCATAGTCCTTGTTTGGAGTATCAGTCTCAGAAAAGACCCATTTGCCCAGATGTTTTGTTTCTGTTGCTCTTCTTGTGGAGCTCCTTGTATCTCCCCCTTCTTTCATAAGATTCCTGCACTCTGCCCAGAGTTTGGCTACGAGTCTCAGCCTCTGCTTTGATACCTTGCTGGGTAGAGTCTTTATTATCTCAGAAAATCTGTATCACCAAGTACCAAGTTTAGTTAATACTTGTTGAGTGATTTTTTTTCCTGAGAAACTATAAGGAAAGGCCTCATGTGCCTCCATAGATCATCCTCAGACCAAAAGAAGAATTACTTTCAAGTCTACAACAGTGAGCCTATGAGATTTTGTACTTACTTATAGGAATATGGGCAACTCAAAAGGCAGCTACACTACTGAGAGGCACTTTGAGTAACTCCACCAGAAAATCCCATCCCAATCAATTATGATTATTTGAATTTGAAGGAGGAGAGAGGCTTCTGTTCCATCTGTAGGGAATGTTAATAACTGTGACCGTATGAGGTTCTCTTGTGGGTGATTACAGACACTCAGCTCTAAGACAGCGATATGCATGTCCAACCTAGAAAAAGCTGTTTCACTATGATATTTGATAAAGATTTTCAATACAACAGTGTATATCTTTAATAGTTTCTTCTTCACTAATTCTTGTATTATATCCCACTTTTCATCTTTACCATTATGTAGACCTGTCTTAAAGAACACAATACCCTCAACAGACCTTCACATCTAAAATATTTCCACTTAGGCAACTTTTTATTATTATTTTCACTGGACCTTTGGTGTGGAACAAAAACTGTTTTTTTTTGTTTGTTTGTTTTTTTTTTTTTTTTGGTTTTTGGGTTTTTTTTTCTTTCTATTTTTGTTGAAGAGTTGCCTTGAATTTTCTGGGAAAGATGTTTTTCGTCCATTTGCCGTTGTTCATGTCTCACAGTTTGTTTGTTCCACGTCTGGGCTGAACTCAGATGCGCTCTTACAGACCAGTTTCTTTAATTCTCCTGCTTGTGACCTCCTCCAGTCCCTGCAGCTGAAGTCATTAAATATCACATATGATCTTCCCACCTCTAGGTTCTGAGGTAGGATCTCCCCTAGATTCTTATCAGCAAGGCTCTCTAGCATACCACTCAGGATCAAACCAACATTCCTTGCAGCTAATTGTGTCTTGAATCTATCCCTAAATTATAAGAATGATGTCTCAAAACAAATTAACCACAATTTTGCCTCCAACCACTCCTTAGCTCATAACAGCTTAAGACCGTAGTGACGTCACAGATGGATGAGTGTGTCTCAGTGGTAAACTCCTTCATAGCACAGACCTTAAGTGATGGAACGAGAGGAGTTCTTCATACACCTTTTCTCATGATAGTTGCTGTTGATGCTGGAAAGTCTACCAAGCTAGTTAAGCATCATTTTTGTATCTGGGAAAGGGAATGATATTGATGCCTGGTTCTCAGGGTTATT